AGACTATATGGTTGTATAAATTTAAATTACGTTATAGAACATCATATCGTATCATAAATGGAGAATCCCATGATTTTCTCAGTCAAATTATTTGAAGATTCAGGAGTTTATCCAGTGATGTATGTGGATGTCACTTAAAGATGTTTTTTTTTTTCCCTTCTGATTTTTGTTTGTTTGTTTTTTTCTTCTCAGCGGCTGAGCGGTAAAGTCAGTGAACACTGGTAGTTCGGTCCGAGGTTCAAATCCCGCGAACGGACTGGCTGCATGGGCGTTTTCATGTTTTTCCCCATGTGTAATGTGTATGCGAACCAGTTTCCCTTAGAAAGTCCTCCCCGAAGCATCCCTCCCTTTAGGCAGATAGCCCTAGCGCACTTTGTGATAATTAAATAAACCAAAACCTCTTGATGAAACCACTCTTTTCTTTCACCTCATACCTTCAAAATGTTTAGCCTTTAAAGACTGATAAAGGCTCTGACCAAATACTTCGTGAAGAACTTTCTAAGGGAAACCAGCTGGCAAACATGGTACACATGAGAAAATCCACGAAAACGCCCATGCAACCAGCCCGTTTACCGGGATTCGAACTCCGGAGTGAACTACCAGTGTTCAGCGACTTTACCGCTCGGCCGTTTGTGGTCCTTTATGAAATGGAAGGCGATAACTTTATTTAAAATTATTGTCAGAAATATCAAGATATTTTGAAAAGTTGGATGCTTTTTAATATACTTGCGGAATGCCTAAAGAAAAAGAGCAAGAATAAAGTAAAATGCCTGAAGAAAAAATAAATTTTTGCGTAAAATTTAGTATTTGTAATTTTTTTTTAAAACTTTTTAATCTTATGATATTTGATTCTTGGGATTTCAAAAATAAGATATGTTTGACTAAAATATGAATAGCATTTTAAGAAACCAAATGTAGTATGATAAAATTGGTGTAAAGCAATGGGCACAATGATTAAAACTGTTTAAAAACCAGTGTATGCAAGTCATCGTAAGTTAAATTAAAATGTCAGGTTATACATCTCTCTTATTTATATATATATCTTTTCTGAACGGAACAAAATTGAATAGGCGTGTTAACTGTGCTTTACTGCATTTTCTCTTTTAATATATGCAATTTTCAAACGCATCGTAGTCCGAGTTACAAAGTATTCTTCCGAAAGAAACGCAATTCAAATAAATAAAATCAAATTCTGGAAAATTTATATTAATAAATATATTTAAAATGCTCAGTTTGAAGGAATAAATAGAAAATTTTAAAACAATTATCTGAAGAGACAATGCGACACAAACAATTAAAATAAAAGTATAAGAATTTAAAAATTACCTAAAATAATAACTATGAAAAAAAAATATATAAAGAAAACTATTTGAAAAAAAATTAACGCTGCACCTTTATTTACGCAGTTCGAATAGGTAAATAGAAATTTTTAAAACAGTTATTCGAAAGAAACCATGCAACTTAAACAATTAAAATGAAATTCGAAAAAGAAAAATTACTTAAAATAATAACAGTTGTAATTAAAAATATAATATAAAGTATATTATTTGGAAAAAAGGAACGATGGTGACTTTTTTTCCTCTTACGGGAAAGGAAACTAGGTTGCCATATATTAAGAAGTTCGCCGAGTGAACTATTCTTGGCGCAATAAGAAAAAAAAGTGCCAACATAAATTTGTCAATTTCTCCGTAAATTTCGCTCCAAATTTTACAAAATTTCATATTTAGGCATAATTTGAGTTGTAGAATCGAAATATGTAAAAAAATTGGTATGTTATTTCAGAAAAAGTCCGATTTTGTGTCAAAATACCCATTTTAGAATAGTGCTATATATAAATCTAATATATATCCTAAGTTGCGCTTTTGAGACATGAAGAATGCAATTTGAATTTTGTCAATCGGCCCAGTAGAACGGGAGATATAGAGCTGTTCCTTTTTTTTTTTTTTTTTTTTTTTTGAACAGTGTACGTAGAATGCTTGATTTCAAGATGCCTTTTTAATTTTGATGATTTCATACTCTCCATAGCTGAAATGTTATAATAAATTAAATAAAGAGGTTGTTCATTATCATCATAGTTGTTGAAAGTTAAGCCCAATTGGAAGAATGTCTCATCATATTTTCTTTCTTCCATCCTAGATCCCTTTTTCTGATACATTATTACTTTTACAATTACTTTTTTTTAGTCCAAGCATTTATCCAATGGTAAAAAGTATTTTTATACTAAAGTATAAATGAAATAACATCTCTTGTAATAATTTTTAAATAAATACAAACCTTAGTCCAGTAAAATACAATATTTTATTGTTCTCATATATTGTCATGTACACACTTTTTATGATGAAATGGAACTGAACTATACTGGAAAAACGTTTTCAGTACACCAGTTGCAGCAGCCCTGACTTTATTATTTCCATTTATATATGAGGCTTGACATACAGGAATGTTGGTAGTTTAATGCCAAATAAACAGATTTGTATCATCTATGCAGAGCAATAATACAAATCAGATTATTTTAAATCGTTTCACAAAGACATCTTTTTTAAGACAAAAACTTTTGAGTTCATGATGAATAGCCTAAAGTACCTTGAGTGCATCATTATCTCATAACACAAAGTATATGCAAAGTTAGATTTGATGCAGTCAATTTCTGCAGTGTTAACACCAACTTGTAGAATAATAAAGTACAGATATTTTATGTCTGATGAAAGTTACAAATCTCTAAGCATACTTCCATACTTAGAAAAAAAAAAAAAGAGAGATTTGGTATGAAAATGGGTTTAAATAAATAAGCTTAATATTATAATTATACTGATAATAATAACTAAAGTTTACCAACATTTCAACAAGGATATATGAGACTTCTCAAAATCGCCCAAACATGTTACAGCTAGTTCAGGATCAAATTGAATAAAGTACTCCATTGACTTTAAAATACCATGCAGACATAACAGAGGGATGTAGAAATTGTCACCTCTACCTATTTCAAGGGGGGAAAGATCATATTTTTATATAAAAACCAGGCATATGTACAGAACAACTGATCATGGAAAATTACCAAAGAAATAATTGATTCTGAAATTAGAATGAGCAAGTCATCAACACAAATAAATAAAACTGAAAAGTAACTATGAAAGGTATAAAATGATAATTTTCAGCAAAGGGGGTATATTTGTAACTAAAGATTATTTAAAAACAAAATTATTTCGATTTATTTCTCCTTTTGCACATTTAATATGAATTATTTTCATACTTTTTATTTTGAAACAATTATTCCTGCTTTTTTTTTAATACAAAATATTTCCACAAACTTCAGGAAAATCCTTTAAGTAACACATTATGAACAAAATATAAAATCAGGATTGTGATACCATTAAATTAGTTGAAATATCTGCTATTAGAGTATAAGATGTATAAGTGTGGGCCAAATGAAAACGGAATAGCACACAACTTATGAGATGGGCACTAGTATTACAACCCTACAATTACACTGTCGTTCATCGAAATGGTAAAAACCATAAAAATGTAGACGCATTAAGTCCTACTCCCTGGCCTGATTAAATAATTTGTTTCTCTATATAAATAAAAAAAATATTTTGTTCTTTCCTCTCTTCCTGAGTGTATGTTATAATGTCATTTGTTGTATTTCAACTATGTGTTGTGTTGATATTGTGTTTTGAGAAAAAAATTGTGAACTTCAGTTTATAAAAAATATCAATTAAAGTTTATCTGGAGGGGGGAGAGGTTGTAATATTTTATTATTTAACAAATAATTATATTTGTAATCCTTTGATATTGGAGTGGCAATGCCATATTTGTAACATCTAACCACTGCTCAGCAATGTCAGAAATTGTTTAAAATTGTTATTCTGAAAGTTACCAGATAATAGTTGTATGAAAAATTTATAGAGAAAAGAAGTAAGCTGGAATGTGAAGCTGTAACAAATAGGATTGAATTTAAATTATCTATATTTGTGAATTAAGAATAAAATTTTATTTTAACAAAGAAGCTCATATGTCATTTCAATAAAAACTGCAAAATACGTTACAATATATTTACTATATCTGCTAAATTGTAAAATGCATAACATATTTTTAGCTCTATAATTTTATTTAAAATGACTTACCTTCTGAAACTGGATTAATAATTTTATCTTGGCACTGCTTGACTTCCTGGTTTAGTAAAAAGCAAGTTGTATACGATGGAATGTCAGTTAACATAAAATTTAAAGAAACTGGAAATTTATTTGAAAGCAACAGCTTTTGAATGAAGGGAACTGCAGATGTTTCATATAATAAAACAATTTTCATATATTCATCTGAAATAAATACATAATCAAATAAATAAAAATTAATATAGAAATAAGAAATAAAGGTACCAATTAATATTTTAGAATTAATAAAATTTCATTACCAGGTAATGTTACATGCAAGTCCTGAACATAAATTTCTGGCATAGCACACAATGCTTCATTACTGGAATTTGGTTGCAAATAAGTAAGATCTTTACTAAGCACACAATTAGTAGCATCTTGTGGAAAGGTTACAGATATGCCAAAGTCTACAGAATAAATTAATATTAAACTTAATTGTAATTAAATTAATTATAACTCTTTAAAATTACAATATGCATAATAAAACTGAAATTTTACATACAGAAATGAACATTATCATACACAATTCAAACACGCATATTTCTACTGCATGCTTAATCATTAGAAATTAGGATGATCACATAGAAAGGAATACAAGGAGAGGCCCTGATCAATTTCTCCAGCTCAAATAGTATGAAACAGTGACATCCCTCCTTGTTCATCAAAACATTCAGTGGTTTACCATTGAGATCTATGGATTTGAACACCTTTAGTGGTAAGCATTCTGCAATTTCAAAGCCCTAACTATTTGAAAGATAACTTTTTTAAACAATATTTTCTTCTTAATGGAATTGACTGTTATTAATTTTCCTGTAAGAATAATTTTAATTTCAATGAAATGGTTTCATGCATTTTTGTTAATTACATAAGAAAAAAAAAATATTTGATTAATAATTACAAAAATTAAAACCAAAGTTTTGTTGTATTATTAAAATTGCATATTACTTATTTTCTTTTTTCAGAGTCTCTTCCTGAAATATTTTCTCAAATGTGAGGTGATTTTCCCACTGTAATTAATGCTCTCTTCAAATTAAAACAAAATTTACTTTAATAGTTAAATATGCTAAATATTACTGCTGCTTTCTGATTTCCATGCGGTTTACTTTCTGTGGGAGTTAAAGGGACAGCGAAAATAAATTAATAATATTCTTTAAGACTTCCAACTGAGTTATTATGATATGTAAGAAAATAATTATTTTAATACTTATAAAAATTTTGTCCTTATATTCAACAATAAACATTCTAAAAATTCTACTTTAGAACTGTCTTAAGTATGTGAAGCATCTCATGTACTATGCTTTCTATATTTTAATACACTGTTTTCGAGTGTAAATAATTCATGCTTAAATAGTTTATAAATACAGCTGTCAATACATCTAACTTATGTTTACACTTAAATGTTAGTTATTACACAATACATATTTAATAACTAAATTCTGGATCGTAATAACACTCATTATTATTTATGAATGAATAAATCCTTTCCAGGTATATTTATAAATAATTTTAATTAATATTTACATAGTTAAATAGAAGAAAATACATGTTTCTTAATATATGTATAAAGAAATACTCATATACATTTAAATTTTTTTTTTTTTTTTTTTTTTTTTTTACTTTTTGACATATGTAAATCTTTATTTTCTGTGCATTCACTGTATTTTTCTAGTAAGGTAATTTACAATCATTTAGCATATATAAGAATTTTTACATAAAAAGTATATATAAACTGAATAAAAATTACTCGCATTATTTTAATGTAATATTAATTTTGATTTATCATTCTTATATTTTCTTGGCATCAACCTCACTAGTGATTAAGCATTTAAAGTTGTTGCTGGTAGTTTGTCCTGGTTTCAAACACAGGCAAATGGGCTGGCTGCATGGTTGGTTTTCCACATGCATAACATGAATACAAGACAGTTTGCCCTAAGGCTTTCTGACACATCTATTACATTAAAAATCTAGGTATTTTTCCATTTTACCGGTGCAGGCGATAAAGTCGCCAAAAATTGTACAACCGATTGTTTCGTTTGTACAAATGAAATATCCTTACTGGTAACCTTTTACGTTTCATTTTCAAAACAAGTCGCAGCCATTTCTTATCAGATTGATTGTTTCTTGCAATTCTGGCATACAATTACATAGAATTTTTACCAGATAGTTCAATTTTATGTCCTAAAGCTATTCGAGGTAATTAAGTTAATTAGGATGCAATCACACCGCTCATCCGAAGGCAAAAATATAGAAAAGGCAAAGTCATAAATTCATCAATTCGAGGGAGAATGCACTAGCGAAGTACTGACAAAGTAAGCTATTCGTACGAATTGAAATAATTCTTGCATTTAAATTTGTATTCGCTAAGATTTAATTTAAGATTTAACTTGAAATTAATACAGATAATCAGTCAGAGAATTAGATTTTTGTAGTGTAGTTTACGTGAGATGAGATAACTTGGGATCTCGTGATATGAGCTGGTGAATCAGGATGTTGAACAATAACAGCATATTAAATTATTAAATTAATGTGTTTTTAAAAATTTATTTTCTTTATTTATTGTCTTTTTACAATATGTTAAATGATATTAAAATGTTTATGCCTCTAAAATAAAAAATTCTTAGAACCCACATTGGTACTTTTCTGTTTTGCTGGCGCAGGCGATAATGTTGCCGAAAAAGGAGCAACCGATGCCAGACAAAATATACTTGCTGGTAACCTTTCATGCCTCATTTTCAAAACAAGTTGCAGCCATTTCTTATCAGATTAACTGTTTCTTTCAATACTGGCATAAAATTGCATAGAAATTTTACCAGATAGTTCAATTTTATGCTCTATGGTCATTCACGGTAGTTAAGTCAATTAGTATGCAATCACACCACTCATCCGAAGGCAAAAATACAGAAAAAGCAAAGTAAAGAGTTAAATTCATCAATCCTAATGCGAATGCACTAGCGAAGTAAAGCACTGTGGTTTTACATAATTTCTGAGTAAGCTATTCGTACGAATAAAAATGATTCTTTCATTTAAACTTCTATTCCATATTAAGATTTAACTTCAAATTAATGTAGAATGAACTAATAACTGGATAACTTGAAATTTAATAACTTTAAATTAATGAGAGAATTAGATTTTTATAGCTTAGTTTACGTAAGATGAGATCATTCGGAGTCACGTGATATGAACCTGCGAATCCATAAATCCAGGATGCTATACCATAAAAGCATAATGTTTATGCCCTCAAAATGAAAAATCCTTAGAACTAACATTTGTTAACATGTTTTATGTGTATACCGTGTGTTGTTGCCAATAAAGTCTGCTTGGCGAAATTTGCACCAGTGAAACGGAAAAGTACCCTAATATTCATTAAATTTTTTTACGTGTATACTGTGTGTTGTCGCGAATAAAGTCCACCTGGTGAGATTTGTGCCAGCGAAACAGAAAAGTACCAAAATCTATTCTAATAATTAATATTGTTTACCCCAGATAAAATATACAGTCAAAAGTCGTTAATCCGGACTCGTCGGGACTTCAGCGATTCCGGATTATAGATCATCAGTTTAAATATGGTAAGATGGCATGCAGAAATTACAAAATTAAAAATATGAAACTATAATTTATGAAATAAAGAACAATTATGATCTAAAGGGTATCAAAATTTACAAAAAGAAAAAGCTTAATATTTATTTGTTTACTTTATTAAACATTTCTTTCAATGTACGTTGCTTCGTTTCATGTGATAATACTTTCTCTTTAATTCTATTAAACAGACATAATTTCTAGTTTAGTTACAAAGTTCTGCTGTTCAAGTCCTATAATTGCTTTGTTGAGAATACCGACTAATTTGTCAATCGAAATGTTTTCGTTTTCAATAACCTCTGGGTCACTTTCTTCACTATCGGAAGCGAATTATAATGACGAGGAACTTGATTTAAATCATATCAAAGACGGAGTACATCGAGATGAAATACTACACTTAGTAAGGAATTATAATTCAAATAAAATAAAAACATCTGCCCTGAAGATAAGGATAGTGCTGACAGATCAATTTCCAATCCGCGGCGTGAAATTGATAAACAGATTTCGAATTTCGAAACATACTTTCGCTTTGTAGATACAAATTACATATTAGTAAATATATATTGGAAATTTTATTTGACATAATCGAAAGTTCAAGCTTACTTTTATGAAATTGCTCTAATAGTCTGCAAAAAATAATACGCCGGATCCAATTCGAAGATTAAGGAACAACGCAATCAGCAACATTAACTGAATTAGATAATGTTAGCTTAGCTTATACCGTCCGTTATACATTAAACGCGCATGCGCACAAACATATTCGCAGCCGTAAAGGTCTTACGTGCACTCGTAAATGCGTGAACGCCACGCATGCGCAGAAAGTTTGTAGCTTTGAGGTCCGGATTATGGGGGTCCGAATTAACGACTTTTGACTGTACTACCTTGGAAATAATGAAAGAAAAGAAACGTATATAAAAAAGTAATACAACCACCTAGGAAAAATATCATCAGCGCAAAATGGAAGATTTAGCCATATTATTGATTTAAAAGAGAGGGAAGACCTTTCATTTACATATTAGAAATATATGCTTTAATTTCTTATAAAAATGACAGAAACAACGTTAAAAGAAAGAAAAAAGTGTAAAATGAAATGAGCAGGCCACATTCTGAAAATCAAGAAATGAAAGAATATAAAATGCCCCAGGAGTGTCAATTAATATTGGCATACAAACATGCTGCATAGAAACAAGCATGTGCTGCCTCCATTCTTTTAATGGAAGACTTCTTTTAGCATGTATCTGCAACACTTGCCTTCTTAAGTGAATTTTCATCTGGCATGTATATGCTGCAGTTAGTGACAATGCATCAAACAAACACAAAAGAAATACTGCCCCTTTTATTCAAATTACAGACTCCTAAGACTTTTAACGAGTATTAAGGCATTATGCACCCTGTTAAAAGTTGTTCTTTTTTAAATATAATTATTGTAAATAAGTACTAATATAATTACAGCATACCTGAAGATCCAGAAGAAGCATCAGCATTATCTGACTTTTGCGATTTTCTGCTTTTTTTGGAAAGCAAAAATGCAGAGAGCATATCCATAGAATTAGACAGCTTCAATGAGCAGGAATTCTGTGAAAAAGAGGCCATTTCACTCAGGCTTTGCTTTCTGGTGTTCTGGAAATTTAACGGCTTTTTGTCCTTGTATGCAATTGACATTTTACTTTCATTTATATTCTCAATATTATCATGATCATTCTTAGGTTTCATAGGTTCAATTTTTTTATCCCAGGACAGCCCAGATAACTTTTCCAAAAATAGCTTTTTATTTAAATTTGTGATCTCTTGAGTATCTTCACGTTTTATGTCTTCAAAATTTTTGCTTCCAGTACTTTCTTCTAAAATCAATGATGGCCTAGCACATATATTATTACTAATCCTTGGATGATGCAAATCAGTGTACTGATCAAAATCAGTAATTTTATCATATGGTGAAAGAGTTTTTGCAGAGTTTTGTAAAATGCTATTAAAAAATTTATCAATATCTGTATCTTCTGAAAGAGCTTCTTCTTCATTAAAATTATTTGAGCATAATGATGTTTTGTTAGGAGACATATCTTTGTAGCACTTAACATTATTGTCTGTTTCTTGTTCAATACAAAGTTCTTTCATATTTCCAATTTTATTTCCAGTATCACTTCTTGGAACTGAATCACTAAAGGTCCTCCTATTGTTCTCATGACATCCACTTTCTTCTAGTACATTAAAAAGTGTTGCAATATTATCAGCATTTTCTTGTTCATTTAAAAATTTCTCTTTTTCAGATAAACAGTTTTCCAAAAATATATCTTGATGTAGAGGAAGTTGTTCATCATTGTTCCACAAAGATTTTTCATCACACATATCAAAGCTTTGCATATCATGTTCAATATCAGGACACAGAAAAAAATTTTTTTCAGCTAATTTATGTACTTTTAATGCACTAGGATCAATTTTTGCACTTCTAGAATTATCAAATAACATATTTTCTTTTAAATTTGCATTTCTCTTTCTTTCATAAAGTAAATAAAAACTGGCATGATCATCAGAAGAAATTGCTTCTGAATTTGATTCTTTAGAAGAATAATTTGTTTCCAAGTTTACCTCATGCTCAGTTTGTTGCTCCAAACAGACAGTTTCATTCAGTGATAACTGAAAGAAAAATTATCTAAATTTAATCATTAAGAATAAAATTATTATTTGAATTTTCAGTAAAAGACAGTTTTACTAAGGATTCAAAGCTTTTGCATTTGTTTTAAAGAAAGTCTGTAGCTGAATTTTTTTTCACTTAAGCATTCAGTTATTTGCTTTTAATTTCAGAAGCACACCAATGAAGATAATTTCAAAATTATAAAACACCAATTTAATATTATAAATGACATACATCTGGTAAAGAAAGTTCTTCAACATCTAGAGCACAATCATCTGTAGCAGAGTTTTCCAACACTTCAAATGGGTTCCAATCTCTAAAAAGAAAATTCTTTTACAGCTCCACTTTGGAAATGAAGAAAATTTAAAAATTAAGTCACTGAGCACCTGGGATAACTCTTAACATATGATAGACTATAGCATTTATTAAATTTATAGTTATGAAATCAAATTTCAAAGCAAGAAAATTCAAAATACTATGCACATTTTTTAAAACAGACACCATGCTTAGTCACCAAAATAACAAGTAAGCAATCACAGTTTTCAGATGGATAATGATATGAAAATATTTAATTATTTCTATTTTGCAATGACTGAATTTGAAACAAAATAAGTCTTAACTATATTAAGCCTGCAAATAATGTAACTGCACCTATGATAGTTATCAATAAACATGATTTCTCCTCTCCCCAAGAAAATAAAATTCAGCTAATGCCCTCTAAATGCATAATGACCAAAATGTTAAGTAGAAGGCACTATTTGCCCATATTTCAAAAGAGATAATTGCTAACAAAAACAGCAGATAAGCAAAATAAACTATTTTACATGACCCCATCCCTGAAAAAAAAAAGGAGTTAGCCCTTAGTGTGTGTACTCATGATCTCTATATTTGTATGACTTATTCAGTTTCTGTTTCATGAAAAATTATTTGTTAATATTGTGACAAAAAGTAAAAATTTTATGAAGGGCATTCTGAAGATCAAATTCAAATTTGTTTATATTGCACACAAAATAAGATAAAATTTCATTGTACCTTTCCTGTGTAATGTAAACATGAAATGTAATTTTTAATGTAAATTTGAATCAATCTCCTTATCAAAGCTTTTCAGTATTCTATCAAAGCCCAAATGAAATGGTTGCTATATAATTTCATAAAACATTTTATCTCCTTGACATTTAATTTACATATATGGAAAATAAATTTTTGTGTGCATGAAATTTAGGTTTATTGACATTAGAGTAATCAATATGAAACTCCTATAAAATGTTATCACTAAAATAAGTACAATATATGCTCAATAATTAATATAAATAACTTGGAGAATCAAAAATGAATAATTATATTTCTACTATCCATGTCTATTTTTTTAAAAATATTCTTATATTCACTATCATTCGATAGCCGATATAAGAATATAGCTAATAATTTATGAAGGAATGATTGTTGATTTATAACCAAAGATTTTAAGGAGTCTGTAGCTGAGAATTTTTTTATCTTTTAATTATGATTCTTTAATATTTGAAAATAGTTTCTTTTTTAACTTCCATCTGTTTTGACAGCAGAAATCTCTTTAGCCTAGTAATATCTAAATGTTTTGATCATTACATTATATTATGGTATACTGTCATACATTAAAAGCATCCACGTGACTGGACATGTCTTGTTATTGTGCTACACAAAATCTTACACTTACTTCTCACATGTCCCACAAATATGTAATCCTCAGAGTATTACACATCAGAAAATTATATTTCTGATTTATCTTTTCAGAATAACTCAATCTGAAATACTGAATAAACCGAGCAATTTAAAAATAGCACTTCTTAATGATTTATATTTATATTTTAATAACATATTTAACTGGTATAATTTTCAAATATTTAACTTATTGCAGCTGATATAAATTTTTATAGCATTACTGTAATTAATAAAAAATGTTAACACTGTATATTATATATCTAGTCAAAGGAAGGTTTTTTTTTTTTAATATGACTTGTTATAACAAAGAACATTTTAAAATTTTCAACATCATAAAGTTATTTCTAGATGCTGCAGCTTTGAGTAATAAAATAATTATTACTGCTGTTAAATTCTCATGCTTGTGATACTGCATTATGAAGTGAAAGGGTCCAAATTTTAAATCTGAGAACAAATCTAAGATCCAAAATCATTGAGACTTCAACAATTCTGGATTTTAGATCACTAACTTAAATCTAGTAAGATGGCATGCAGGAATTATAAAATTAAATATATGAAATTATTGCTTGCAAAATAATGAGACATTTCTAACTTCAAGGGAACTGAAATTTACAGTGTTAACATTAAATTTGTTTTATTAAGCATAAATTTCAATGTAAGTTCTTCAAGAAATTTCATTTTTTGGGGGATTAATTCATTCTCTGATTTCATAGAGATACAGTCACAAATTTTCATTGCTTAAGTCCTGTCCTGTAACTGCCATGCCTAAAATTCCCATTAACCTCTTCATCGTCCGTAATGCGCTTCAAGCCTTCTTCTACATTTTAAAACTTTTAAACGTTTAAAATGCTTTCTAAATGTTTACTTGCTTGGGTTTTTATTTTTGTTTATTCTAATACCTCCTAGAGGGCAGTACTAATCAGGCATTCTATTTCTAATTGAATTCCCCCTCCCGGGTTTTATGAATATTCGCGCCATTTTACATAAGATACAAGACAGTGAGAGATCTTCAATGTCTACTCAGGAGAAAAAGAGAAAAAAATGAGGTTGTGAATCGGAACGACAAGAAGGATATACAATTTGATGAGTACAGTCCATAATAACTCTATGATTGACGTTCAAACATGGAAAAGAACTGTAAAAAAACCAATAACTGTAAAAGATTAAACAACAATATGGGAGGAGTGGACTGCCTGGATCAAATATTATGAAATTAATCCTCTGTTACAAATAAGCAGAGATATTATTACTTTTCCATTATGCTTTATTTCCTTGTAATTTTACTTAACATTCATTTACATTCATCCACTACGAAAGTTATGTATGTACAGAGAAAACATTAAATGCTGCGAAAAACAAAGGACACGCTGGGAAGAAATTTCCGCGGACAGGAGAGGAAGGCGAAAGGATTAAACAGTCAATTCAATTTTTTTTTATTCTCAACATCATCTTCATTTTCTTCCCTATCAAAAGCAATATTTTATGGATTTGATTTTATGGATTTCATTTTGACTCCCCCCCCATTCTAAGTTTATGTTTGAATAAGCACCTCAAGAAACTGAAATGCAACTAGAAGGCAAAAATTATAATATTTTCAGCCTATGACAGATTTCATGGTCTATCAAATGACTTATGACTGGATCTATCCAAAGCTTTCAAATTCATGGCTATCATCCTCATGAAATACGTATGTAGCTGGTTATCAATTATGAAATTTCCCTAAGAAGATCATCTCTGGTTCTAAAGGACTGCGATATTCTTGTAGAGGTGATGGCCAACATTGATGTTTATTGACTTTCTCAGAAATAGTGAACATTTTCAGAAATGATAGTTTAAAAAATGTGATTACTAGGACAGGTTTTACTGCATTTATGTTCTGGATTTTAACTTCTACATAATATTTTGCTTTTCTTAAAAAAGAAATAATTGCAAATTTTACTTTTATGCTGCGCCTATGCAAATGCATAATTTCTAGAGTATACAAAGTATTGACATATATTCTATCATGTAACTAATATAATTTAAAAAAGCAAAATATTAACTTCTGAAAATGTCTTCAAACACAAAATATAAAGTAATATTTAATGCAAAAATTAGCTATGTTTAATCAAATGTTAAAATGCTTTTGGTCACTTGAAAGAATGTTAAAGGCTGTTGACTCCTGAAAGGTATCATGAAGTCTTTGCCTTATGAAACATGAAATCAATAAAACAAAGACACATGGTGGGACGCAAAAAAAAAATCTGAAAGTTTCAGATTTTAAATTACGTCTAAAGGGCCTTTTTTTTTTAACATTTTGTGTGTTATCTTTATTTATTAAATATCATGTTCTTCGTGCTTAAACCATAAAAATTGAGTTCAACATCAATATCACAAAATAATTTTTAAATGATCATAGCTTTAGAATTTCCGATACAAAGTTTCACGCGCTGGAGATAAAAAGGTATCCCGCCCCCCCCGTAGAGTGTTGCCATTGCTCGCTTTTAAATTGTTAAGTTTGTTAATCAAAAATTCGTTAAAGTTTTACAAAATATGAAATAGATAATAAAAAAATTCCAAATTTGGGCTTTGTAGATGTCCATATTTAGGTAGAAACGTACGTTATTCAAATACACAGCAAAATATAGTATATTGAGTATTTCATGACAAAAATTGTTATTTGTAAATACACATCTTTCATTGACCTTTAAAAGTATTTGCTATTATCCTATAATACAGCAATTTCTTATCATTTTAAATCAAATTTTAGAAAAGCGGAGAGAAGAAAAAAAAAAAAATGAATATACATGTTTTAAATATAATTTTAAATTAATATTTTGCTGCAGCATTTCATTATTAGCATTACTTTTTACGTTTGATGCAAATAATACCCAAAAGAACTACATGATGCAAGTAATACCTAAAAGAAGTACACAGAAATTGTGTAATCAACGTAGATGGGATTAGAAGTGCTTTTATTAGTTATACTAATGGATATTAATACCAACAAAATTTACTGCCATCAAAAAATATCAGAATGATAATACTGTTGAACAGTTAATTTTGTTATACTGGTACATGAATAAATGTACTATTATAATTTGGAAGATAAATGAAAGATTTCACTGCAATAACTTCCTGTTTTGCCAGAAAAGAACTTTATTCACAAAGTAACAAAATAAAATTTGAATAAGCCCTTAGATTCTTTTTAAAAAAAATTATGATAATTTGTCTTTACCAATGCAGTGAAACCTCTCATGGCAACAACCTGCATAAAATGACTATCACAGAACATGGCAATTTCTTAAAACATAAACCAATATCAGCACTTCCACTAAAGATCAAAATCATTGTGAATCATAGGTTATCAACTTAGAAGGGTTTTGCTAGAGTTAAAGAATGAAGAAAGAAACTATGAATTTAATCAAAATAACTCCTTATAATTATTAGCTTTCATCTTTTAACTTACTGCAGAAAAATTTTACTCATTTTTATCAAATATTAGACCACATCATATGTCCCTAAATTTATTCATTGAAAAGTAAAGCCTTGTGAACCTAATTAGAAGTTCTGTATGCAATTTCCAGTTATCTAGCTTTATATTATGATTATTATTACAATCAGTTACACATGTTATTTTAAAATTAAGGTGCCATTCGATGCAAAATTATGACATATAACCACTTGTAAAACATTACATGGTGGGAAAGTGAGAAGTGATTATGAGGATGCACAAAATCCTCTCATGTAGCTAAAACCCTAATAAAACTACTCTTTTTTTTCCAAAGGCAAGTCCTACTCCCAACACATGACTAACGTGAATTTCCAGAAAAGCCCCCCCACGGCAACATACAACTTATTATCATAATAATAATGATGATGTACTTTAGGGTTGTGCCATAAAATCAGTACATAATTACAAACGTATTGTTACAAAATGTACAGGCAGGGTGGGATAGCTTCCCCGCAAAGCAGTTTTACGGTTGCCATAAAATGACAAGGAAGGCAGGGTTGCCACATTTGGCAAGAAATCGCCCATTTGGCGACAAAATTGGCAATATGCCATGGATGGATGGAGAACCTTCTGGAACGAATTCTTACCAGTTTAGCCCAGAATGTTCTCGAACACAAGCCGAAAGCTATATAAACCCTGCTGGTTCGCAGTCAGTTAGTGTGTGCCTCGTCTAGCGAGCTGAGCAAGTGTTTCGAAGTCTAGTGCTGAGTTGGTCGTTGAGTGCATAGAAGAGTCTCTTAATGTATCGTCAAGAGAGCGTGTTGAGCTCTGGGAACAACTGAACCGAAAAGTCGGGAGCTGTGCTCTGTGTGTCGTCGAGTGCATAGCGAATTGCAGCGTGGAGAGTCTCGAGAGTACATGGAGTTCCGAGAACGACCAAGCAGAGTCGGGAGCTGTACTCTGGTGCTTTGCAGTGAAGCTTTCTCCCACATTATAGCCTGATAAACTGAAGGCTGTGTCGCTGATTGTGTCAGCGTGTTTATAGTAGATCTCTGATGACTGTAAAACGTGACTCTGGAGCTGTCCTGATCAGTATTGGCTAAATAAAGTGTGTTTCGATTCTTCATCAAATGTCGTCGTTATTCACTCTAAATCTACGAACTCCGTACGAATGTGAAAGAAGAAAATAAGTTATCAATATATATGAATTTTAGAAGAAGCATGGCAAAATTTTATATGATTATGGAAATTTTTAATATTTCCTTATGATTTAGATATTTATATTTTGTTATGTTAGATATTTAAATTATATTATATAAAACTCAGTGCCGCAAACAGCCCTAATGGGCCAAGGCCTGCAGTGCTCCGAAATCTGCTTTCTTGACCGTGAGCCCGGGGAACGTAAGCATATGCCCTGAACAAGTTGTCAGCTTGTCGCAGGACACCCAGTGTTTGGTCTCCAAGTGAACTTGGTACTTATTTTATCGACCCAAGGGATGAAACGCTGAGTCAACCTTGCCCGGCACGGGGTTTAAACCCCGGAACTGTGGTGCTGCTGCGTGGTATGCGCTAACCACTGTGCCACCGGGCCTCGTATTATATAATTAAATTATTTATATAACATTATATCTACAGCACCATAAAATATTACTTTTACTTAAATCTGATATTTTAACATTGACTAAAAGTATTTTAAAGACTGCACAAAATTTAATATATGGAATAATTTTATAATATTTGTAAAAGTATGATATACTTATCTCATTTACTGAAAAATTTCATTGATATATTAAGCATACTTACGTGAAAGCAGCAGTAGTCTCAAATGATATTGCATATTCTTCCTTAAACATATCTTCATATTCAATGAAAGGTAATTCTTCTCTGAGAATTAAAACAGATGGATTTCGAGGGCTAGATTTAAGCAAGGAATTTGAGATAGGTAGTTCCTCTAATAGTTGAAATTCTTCTATGTAAGAAAATAAAGGAAAATTTTCAAAATTATCTATTCAAAATCATTTTGCAGAAATGATAAAATAATGAGGACAAAATATAAACCTATAATTTAAAATTACCTCTGCATTTAAGCTATGAAGCTTTTCATTCCTAATTTCTTTTAGTTAATTTATTATTATATTGTATTATTTCTTAAAAGATAATTTCCCATATATAATATAAATTGTTAAGAATAAAAAGAGATAAAAATTGGGATCTTCTGTTCTAAAACAACTGGATACTTTTTTAACCCGGGAGCATGCGCCCCTGGGTCTAAAAGACCCGGCTCCATTTTTTTGAAGAAAAAATATTACTCTTCAGGTAAAAGTGTTACATTTATGCCAAAATTTTATGATCAAACTTAAAAAATACACAATTATACAAATTAAAATTTCAATTTCTATAATACTTTTAATAAAATAATTGTTTAAAGGAATAGTATTATACTAATTTAGAATTTATTAGGAATTCATTATATTATTATTTAGGTTATTCAGGAATTATTATTCAGGTTTATTAGGAATATACTGTCTGAAAGAACATCTTCCTTGGAAAGCTTCAAGTTTTTCATCAATTGTTATGAACTCACCAACAATTTATCACAGTTTTTCACAAAATCTACAAAAACCTATCTTATAGGTACAAGTTTATCTGATTCTTTCTTGACAAGGTGAATTCCTATGTAATTAAAACGCAAACATCTTGATAAAAAGAAAACTTTTGTAGGACAGTTTTGTGGAAAATTTCCAAGCCGGTTCCGTTTGTTGCCCTCAGATCGCACATTTACATGAGATGACTTATGTCACAAAAATATAAAAGACCTCTAAAAGCGCGAATTTCAATTAGAGTTATGTGATGAGCTCTCTCTTTCTTTCAAAGCTGTCAGAAATAGATGCAATATAAATATTTGTATAACTGACGACTTTCAGCAGCATCTATTCACTTAGTAAAAGTTCCCACTATTCATTTGGGGTCTGCACATATTTTGCCTTACCAATGTTTCCAAGCAATTTAGTAATAATATTATGAGCACGAGTTCTAATATCAGTTTTAGGCTTTACTTTTCCCCATCATTTTTTTTGTCTTTTTTAATACAGCTATAAATGTCATTCTCATTTTCATTTTCAGAATGCATCTTGATTTCTGAATCAGTATCATGAGAACTAAAAAATGCGTTATAACTTTCATCATCAGTTTCTTTCAATGGAGTCTTCAGTGTAACGTAGAAGTCGATAATCTTCTAATAATTTTTGCAAATGTAACATTCTTCCTTATAGGATAAATTATGTGACATGTTTGCAGCTTTTTGTGCTACCAAAAATGAACTACCTTAGAGCAATGCGAATAGGCGCGCTGGTTTTGAAAGATCCGATCCAAACAAAACAAAACTTCAAATCAAATTTCCAGCGAAAAACTTCGGAAGCATAAAGAGGATGGCCTTGGAGGAGACTACATTGAACCACAACCACTTAGGAAACACAGGGGCGTTTCCAGAAAGGCTTTCTTTAATCGGGCGGGCATGCGTGCTCGCGGGTTAATAAAATTTTCATAGAGAGAAAATGGAGTATTTTAGATGGATGCATTCTGGAAAATTGCACACAAAGTACATATAGCTTTTACTCAGAATAGAACTGTAATGGATATTAGATCCAAAATCATCTGTCCCCAAAAAATCATTTTGGAATTTTACAAGGCAAAATAATATGAAATAATATAATAATATGACATAACAAATAATATGAAATAGTAACAGCAGATAATTATATGCAAATTGTAATTATTGATATATAATTTGAAATTATTTAGGTAGTAAAATATTTAAAAAATCCTACGCCATTCAACCTGAATAACTTATTGCAAAATTTGACATTTTTTTTTTAAATCAGAAGCAAACACATTTTATCATTGGAAAACTATAAAAATTTCACATAAATATGAATTAAATACCTAATAAAGTATCAAGATTGAAATTATTTAGACTCTTCTCTTCCCACACAGTTTCTTCTTCAGCAAGATCTTCTGATTTCAAATTGATATCCTCATCAAAATCTCTAAATTTTAGTGATTCAAAATCATAGAAATATCTTTAATAAATAACAAACATTCTAGAGAATACTAGCATTAATACATACAAAATAAATTTAAATAACTGGGATCCTAGATATATAATATATGGCATGAAGAATACTGTTTGTTAATTATAATAATGTTTTAGTAAATGTTCCTAAAATTATCAACTGCACATTATAAATTCAATGCCGTTTAAATTATATTAATTAGACTTATTGATAAAAAAATAAAACAAAGAATTAAATTATTTGAAAATGTATTTGTTGCATTTAAATCAGAAAAAACTGATTAAATTTGGAAGCTAAATTAAAGTTTTGAGTTTCATACAAGTTTTTGAGCGTTGCTAGGAAAAGCTATTAGCAATACTCAAAAACTTGCTATTTGTAAGGCCACACAGCACAGAACAGGGTTCTCAGACTTTTTGAGTTTGCGACACATTATTTCACTGTCCGGAATACAGAGACATATCCCTAGCTCCCTTGCAAGCAAAACACAAAACAATGGAATGGCAATCACACCCTTGCTCTAGTGGAGCATATATAAACCAATGAATAATCACCCAGATGTTTGACTATAGTTGTACATATAACAATTGTCTTGGCAAATTGTACATAATATGAACACATCACATGTAGTACATAGCTTCATATGGTGGTTTTACTTTCAGTAAATTATTACTTCTACAACTTATATATAATTATAAATTATTAATTTGAATAAATATAAAAATTTCAAACAACAGTTTAAATAAGTTTTACTTTTATTCAAAACATATACTGTACTAAAATACATTGAGATGAATTGCATTATTGATTACCAAATGCTTTCTTGACATCAGCACTGTCGTAAGTTTTTTTTTGGGGGGGGGCAGTCGCTAATATTATTTTATTGCCTTGTTTTGCTAAGCTGGAGAGAAATCTCTATTTCAAAATAATAATAATAAAAATAAAAAGAACAGAATCAATAAATTATTTCTTGGTTCCCAACTTCAACTTGCACATCTCCTTCTTTCAAGACAACAAAGAGGATTTAACCTTTCCCTCTCATCCCTGCTGGGAAACTGGTCATTAGTATACGAGACACACATAATTATTTTGGTCATTACATTACATATTTACTATATATGCCTTTTACTCAATTACTCAATGAATATTCTTAGATATGTGATGCATAATATATGCTTTTTATGACTTATCTCTCAGTGGGGCATATATTTCAAAGAGGCCATATCATAATGATCAAGAAATTTCACCTGAATTATACGTAGACCCTTTTTTGTATTATTATTATTATCTCAAAAAATATGTAGTAGTTAACTGGAAGATGATGCTTTATAGGCAGACAATAATAACTGACAAAAGACTACCGTGTTTCCAAATGACAAATATGATAATATCAGGCAGTAAAAGTGATTGGATAGAAAATGACATTACAGCAAATTTAGAGAATTAAAAAAAATATTAAAAAATTCCACTAGAGTATGTAGAGCAATGCTCTTCCAAGAAAAACGAACTGAAACTTAATATGTTTTTAAAATCAGTTTGATACCACTGCACATAAATACATGCTACACAGTACATCATGCCCCAAAAAATAGTAAATGTATGTTTGTAATAAGTCTGATCACGCACATGAATCAGATTGATTGTTTCTTTCAATACTGGCATACAATTACAAGAATTTCTACCAGATAGTTCAATTTTATTCCCTAAGGACATTCATGGTAATTAAGTCAATTAAGATGCAATCATACTGCTTACCTGAAGGCAAATATATAGAAAAGGCGAAATCAAGGATTAAATTGATTAATTTTAATGAGAATGCACTAGCGAAGTAAAGCATTGTAGTTTTACATAATTTCTGAGTAAGCAATTCGTACGAATTTAAATAATTCTTGCATTTAAAACTTCTATTCCAAATTAAGATTTAACCTGAAATGAATGTAGATAATTACTTAAAGAATTAGATTTTTGTAGCAGAGTTTACGTGAAATGAGATCACTTGAGGTCATGTGATATGAAACGACGAATCAGGATGTTGTACCATGAAAGCATAGTAAATTCTTACAAATTTATTCTCTTTATTTATTTTAATTTTACAAATTTTTAAACGATATTAAAATGTTAATGCCTTCAAAATAAAAATTTCTTAGAACTAATATTTTTTATGTGTATACTGCGTGTTGTCGCAAATAAAGTCTGCTTGGTGAGATATGCGCCGGCGAAACGGAACAGTACCAGTGAATTTGAAGATAACCAGTCAGCAAGAAGTTAAACTAATGCAGCATTTATTCTCTTTCACAAAAAGCAATTGCACCTGACATACTTAAAAATATTTCATACATAATTTCAATGCTTAAATAAAGTGGGTTCATATTCCCTTTCGAAATAATATTTAAAATTGTAAAAGATTTAATTTCTGTTATATTATTAAAAATTTTACTGTTATGTAAGTAAAGTAAATGTAACACGCCAAGTAACAATTATTAGAGGTTCAAACAACAGCAATTGGTGTCAATTTTAATAAACTGCAATACTAGTTTCAAAAGTTTTACTAAAGAACCTTCTTCTTCAGATGCAAGAGAATCAATTTTTATGCTTATGTTATACTTTTTCTGGAATTAATTATAAAAAATGTGAAAACCTTTTGACATCAGCTTATAAAAAAACTTTATTTTAAATCATTAAATTATCCGGCTTAAGCACAAAATCAAAATTTTACTAAATTCCAATGAAAGTTTTCAAAATTCATATATATAGTGGATTTGTTTTCTAAATTTATTCTATAGTGGATCTGTTTTCTAAATTTCTGGAAGATTCCTGAAATGTTAAATTTCTCATTTTAACATATCACTACTTTCAGTTTACTGTATTTCTTAACCCATACCTATATAGCTGATGAAACAGGAACTGGATAATTGAAGAGTTAGGTTTGGGAGTTGGATGGATGTGGATGTGTGTGGATATTCTGGTGCAAAACCTTAAAGGTTATACGTGCCAAAGTACAAGTCAGGCACTTAAAACACAGCTGATAGATAAAACAAGACATATATACAAATATACAGACAAGGTTAAAACCACATGAACTGCATAACATCCAAAACTGATGAAATGATCAATGCTCAGATGAAGTTGCCTATACCTGATGATATTAAATGTAAGTGTAAAATTCTAAAACATGAAATAACTTAAAATACATTTCATTAAAATACCAAGGTGTAACAGCAAAAAACAAAAATTAAATTATAAAGACCTGCCTCTTTCAGGTAGTCAAATAAATTTGTATTGGCCTCTTTCCCGATTACAAGGTCCAGAGGCAAGTCAGAGTCATTAAAATATTTCAACCGAAGTCTGTTAAAATGTGGACATTCAATTAGAAAGTGATGAACAGTTAAAACATCATTACAGTTTAAACATAAAGGTTGAATCTCGGCCTTCAACAGATAACCGTGCGTGGCTCGAATGTGACTGATATGAAGGCAGGTTAAAATTATCTCCTCCTTCTGGTTTCTAGTCATCTCCCAGTACTCTAATTCAGGTTCGACACTTCTCAATTTATTTGAAACCTGATCGTCCCAGAATAACTGCCATTTAGTTGAGATTCTTTGCTTGATCGCCATTTTGATATAATTAAAAGGAACAAGCAGCTTCAACAAAGCAAAATCATACTTTGCAGCTGTGTCTGCCAGCTCGTTACCTTTTATGCCTATGTGTCCAGGAATCCAGCTGTAAAGAATATCATACCCTTGGCTCTTTAGTTTTTTATGTATTATAAGAATGTCTACTAGCAGAGGATTTCGAGTGTCAGGAAATTTACTTAAAGCTTTTAGAGCACTTAAAGAGTCTGTGTAAATTATGAACTTTTTCTGGATTTGTTTAGAGATGAATGCAAGAGCGATATACACAGCAGTTAATTCAGCAATAGAAACAGAACATGCATCTTGCAATTCTTTGCTTTCAGTGTGGTTTTGAGTTACAAACGACGTTCCTACATGACAGACTGATTTTGAACTGTCTGTATATATGGGAATAAAAGTGTTGTATTCATTTCTGTGCTCAAGAAAAACTTGTTTATATATTACCTCCTTAGTGTCACTCTTATTAAGGTATTGAAAAACTTCCAGAAGCTCAATTTTCAGATTATACCAAGGTGGAATTTCTACATACTTCACTGCCTGAACCCTGATAACAGGGTTTCTGTTCTTTCTAAGAAAGAAGTATATTAAGAGGTCATGCAGAAAATAAACGTTTGAGACAGTCATCAAGCCTACAGACCTGAAGGAGATGATAGATTTCAACATAATATTGAAATACTGGTAAAGAGACAATTGCTCACACCATAGTTAAAGCGCCGGTTCATAACAGTCAACATATAGGCTCTGCACAGGAGACATTCTGAAAGCTTCCAAACTAATCCTCAGAGCCTGATGATGTACAAGATCAAGTTTCACTAAAACAGAAGGCCATGCACATCCATACACAATTAAACCATAGTCTAATCTGGCGCATACAAGTGATCTGTAAATACGAAGTAAAGAGCTATGTTCCGCGCCCCAGGAGGTGTCCGCCAGTACTTTTAGTAGATTTACTATTTTTAAGCACTTCTTCCTTAAATATAACACATGAGGAAGAAAGGTAAGCTTACGATCAAACAACACTCCAAAAAATTTTACTTCAGAGACAACTGGAATCAATGAACCCTGAAGGTAAAGCTCAGGCTCTGGATGAAGATTCCACTTTTTACAAAAGTGCACGCGCACAGTTTTCTCTTTTGAAAATATAAAGCCCTCACCCTCTGACCACTTTTGAATCCTATTCAGAGCGATCTGCAACTGTCTCTCCATGTATCTCATATCAGCACCTTAACAACTTATCTGCATGTCTTCAACATATAGTGAACCTGAAATGGAAGGAGGAAGTTTCTTTAAAATAGAGTTTATTCTTAAGCTAAAAAGAGTAACACTAAGAAAACAGCCTTGAGG